CATATTTGTGATGATTCCGCTACATTCCGATGATTTTCTCAAGCACATGTATGCAATATAGTGATGTTTTTGAAGTGAAAACTTCTGTAGGCGCGTTGGGCATTTTTGAACAACTAACAAAGGAATGTGTTTTTTGTGATGGGGAAAAACCATTGAACTCGCGACATTGTTACTGTTACCGACTCCTCTATATTTAAGTAACTACTTAGATTAGCCCTGCTTACACGAGACTTGAGTTTGGGTTGAAATACATTGATAATATAACTATTTATAATAAAAACATATATGGTCTGTATGCGTACAACATAGATATATATTCATGTCGGAACTTATCGAATCAAAAAACACAAAAATAGGTTTCACTTCTGTCGGCACTCCCGGACTGCCACTTTTGACTGCTTTTTGGTTGAGTAACATTATAAAGTGCTTCTCCATAAAAATATGGGTAATTTGGTGGATTGGATGAGTGCTAAGTGATCCTGACCGCCAAATCAAACATCGTGGGATTGATTCCAACCCATTACAAATAATTGTGTAATGAGCACGATCATTTGTTCTGTGTCTGGGTGTGATTTATCTATAATATGTATGTTTTTATAAATATGTAGGTATGCTTAACAATAGTCTGGTTACCATAGTACAGGGTCTGCCTGGTTTGGCCGTATGTGAGATGTGTGTTATTATTATTATTATTTTCTGTTTTTTTTTCTTTATTCGTTACACTGGACGCGATGCGACTTCGAGTGGTATTTGAAAAGCCTTAGTGGTGTAGCACAGTCCATGAGGCCTCTGGTTCGATTCCCGGATCGGGTAAACTTTACGGTTTTTCTGAGAAGAAAAATGGCCTAAGTTAATCCTTATATAGACAGCTACCTGGCAGTAAAATATTATCAAAATCGGTTCCAATCGGCTAGATTGGAAGACTACCAGAACCAGACAGTCAAAAAATATTTAAACTGGTTTTCAGACATAGGTATAGTGCAAATAAACATGTGAGTATAAAAATACTTATCACTTTGAAATATATATTTATTTAAGACAACTCCCGCACTAGGTATATATCCTGTCTCGCGGGGACTTTACAAACATATATGAAACGGACAAAAAGAACACCCAGTCTAAAAACAACAATTTGTGGATCACACAAAGTGTCGTCCCATGTTGGGACCGAACCCACAATACTCGGCGTAGAAGGAAGCGGCGTGGCGACCGCTTAAACCACTATGCCATCCGCTCATATTACAAACAGACACTTCAATTTTGTTTATTTTTATAAACAAGATTCATCTAGATCGTTCGTTAACATTTAATTAATGTTGCCATTATCACTTATGGCACAATAAATTAAGCCAGTTGGACTAAATTGAACTAAAATATTCTCGTTTATCGTACTACCCATCCCTTAGTTATCATCATCGTAAAAAGCACTCTTGTGTGTAATGTTAAGGTATAAATTAGGCTGTACTAGCTACCATTATCAAGAGTTAAATTCGTTTGTCACAAGAACTTTTTAAAAAATAATGTGTTGCCCTTTTATAAGTCAAATGTTTGTCTTTGTTTAATTTTAATTATTGATTTTATTTGTTTTTTTTTTCATTTTTCATTTATTACTTCGGATTTTTATCCTTTCGGATATGACAACCCCAAACTTGAATCAGAGAGGAGTCTGTGGGCTTGGTTATGTAATATCAGACATCTGACCTGTATCTTTGCTCCAGAAGATGTATTCAAAGAGAGAATCTTGTGGGAATTCCTGTGTTACATGGACTTACCTCCAGTGCTTATAATAGAGTTTCCCTATCCCTACGGTTCTTGACACATTCCATCAGAACATGTTGTACATTATATATTGGATATTCAGTTTTTTTCGTCAAGTATGCAAATTTGTTCGATGGAATGTGTCCTGATCTTTATCTTAATATCACTTTAATTAAATCTCTGTTAAAATTACATCCTCATTTCAGTAGTTATTAGAAACCATAGCAGTAGCTATTAATAAAAAATGTAAAGTATTTTTTTCTAACTTCAACAGACATTTTTTTCTCTTTATAATTTATTTAATTAACTCAAATTTCAATCCTAATGGAGCCATGTATTCTACCTTAAATCCTGTAGTGTTTTAGGCTGTCACCTTGCCGCTTCCTACTGTGTTGTGGATTCGATCCTCACACAGTTGTAAAGTTCACCGCGACACGGGATACATTCCTAATGCAGGAGTTGTCTTTTTAAAAACCAAATAAATCCGATGAAGTCTCCAAGCGACTAATAGTTAATTAAATTATTAGTTATAATAAGCCATTTATTGTTCGATTAATGAATAATTGTGAAAGAAAAGCCAAAATCTAAACTAATATCCCAAAAGCCAATACAAGTCCGTTTCTTACACTTTTAACCATTATCTGCTCAACAAATTTTGCATGCAAGTTTGTCAGGGGTTCAGAGAATGACAGGTAGGATAAGGACAGTTGCTGATGGCCTAATGGACTGATAAATTGGTTGTTTTTTTTCCTTTTAAGGGCGCTCTGATAATTTGTGGAATCACGTAATTTAGTTTTCAGATGCATTCAAATTCTAAAATGGCGATTTATTTTTATGGTATATCGTGGTGGTATTTTATCGTAAGAGCTTGCTTCCACGGAGTGATACCACGGCCTCACAAAAAAATGGTGTTATACAATTCTTTCATTGCTTTTCACCGAGTGGGTGAGGTTACCGGACCCCACTTCCCAGATTTGGCTTAAAGGTTTTAAACGCACTTGTGACTCTTGAGTGGCAGGTGTCCATGGGCGGCGGTAGTCACTTACCACCAGATGACCCGTCTGCTCGTTTACCTCCTAAGCCATGAAAACAGAACCAACTTGCAAAGGCTATTTAACTTTAAAGATGGGACAGTAGCGACCATTAAGTACGGTTTTCTCACTGTTTAATGGCATCCTATAGCATAAATATGTAGACATTAAATGCTTTACTTCAAGGTAATCTTCCCATTCCGGCAACCATTTAAAAATAACGTATTATATATGCTTCTTAAAAGATAAATAAGTGATAATGGCATCTTAAATTAAAGTCCAACGAACAATCTGGATGAATGATATATCAACCATCTTTTTTTTTAACAAAAAAACAACTACCGCACTAGAAATTTATATAATTTATATATATATATATATATATATATATATATATATATATATATATATAATTATTTAACAGTCCACTGCTGGACATAGGCCTCTCCTTAGAAAGGAGGTTTTGGCCTAGTATACCACGCTGGCCAGACGGGTTGGTAAAGGGTTTGTGCTTAAGTTTTCCTTCTCTTTGCAGTGCTGCTGTCCTGCGTAGTTTGCTTCCTTAGTCGGCTCTTACGACACTCATCGGTTGAATAGGAGTGGTTAGTGACAGTCCGTATTCTTAATGCGTTACCACACGTCACCATAATCTAAGAGTTTGAAAGAATCTGAAAACTAAATTACGTGATACTTCAAATTTTCACAGGGCTATAAAACTGGTAGATTTAACATTGTTTATGTTGTGATAATTACGACGGTTTTCCCAAATAAATTACCCATTAGCGCCTATGAAAATGGACTAAACAGGTTTTTAATCTAAATGCGTGATGTGATTCACCATACACAGTGTTACAAATATAATAATAATAATTTGAAACATCTAACGCACGGCCGTCTGATCCTAAACTACTCAGAGCCTGTACTATGGTAACCAGACTACTGATAAACACACTTATAAATGTATTTATAACTGATGCTTTGCCGTGTGGTACCCGCTAAGAAAAACTCCACCCCATCTCTGCCCGTGGGTGTCGTAAAAGTCAACTAAGAAATGATATACCAGAACCTTCTGATTAATTTCGTTGCGGGTTCCAAGACCGTTTAATTTTTTCTTGGGACATCCCGAGTGTCATAACTCGGTGTGTTCGTGAGTCACTGTTGTGGATCCTGGTGTACAGGAGTTACAGTGGTGGGCGTGTGGGTGGGATTAGTCCCAATACCAGAGGATGGTAGCAGCATCCTACTTAGCACAGTACCAACTTACTGCAATCAATTATGGTAAAAGCCCCCTATGGAAAGAGTAGTTTTTACACAACACTTATTTATCCAAGGTTGGCCTTGAATCAACGTCCTCTGGCTTGGCATTCAGGAGCACCACTAAAATAAAGGGCTAGTCAAGAAATAATCACTGCTTTTTATCAATCAGGAAGTATTTTTATTTACCACCTCAAGGGTGTAAGAAATCCCGTTCAGGATGCCAGTAGAGACCTAAATATATTTTGTTTACACATATTATTTTTTATACATACTAAGTACGTGATTGAAAAACCCTATGTTATGTTGGGACAATTTTGTTTCTTCAACTCTGCTTAGATTATTTAATATTATTTAGTAAAATGGTAACCCTTGCACTTAATAAAAAAAAATGAATGGGTTATGACTAGTAGTTATTTACATTGGAACTCTACTTTATAAACAAAACAGTGAGCAGAATTATTAAATAAACGGGTTCTGATACGTCGCCATATGTGGCGTAGTGTGTGTGCTTGCGAAATTTATATAAAATGGACGATCAACGCGCGAATTTCATTAGATACGCGTAAGGTGCAGTATACGTTGCACTGCCATTCATGCCTACCTTTATGTCGCAGCGCGCGCTTTTCCATTGTTTCCGCGTAATAGAAATTGAACTGATTTGAAAAATTTCAAATTAAGAAATTTTTTCGAACATCGAGAGCACATTGGAATGTGACCGTTGTGAAATAATAAAACTTTTTATAGTTTATGATTTGTGAATTGTTTACTGTAAACAATTTATTTGTTTAGAAAATAAAGTTTAAGTATTTTTATATGACATGTGGCATTGAAAACTAGATGAGTCGTTACCGAATCAATTAAAAGAGCGGAATTAATATTAAAACCCTATTAGATACCAATAAGTTATTTCAAATATCAACCTTTTTGGTGTGAGGACGTGTTTTTTTGTTAATCATGAAAGACTTAGTGCAAATTTGGAATAGTGTTACGAACAGGAGGTATTCATCAGTGAATACGAGTGAATTGAAAGATTTGTCCAATAATCGATTAAAAAAATCTGAAATCGATACATATGAGTCTAATTTAGCTGAGTGTGAAGTATTGAACTGTAAATTTAACGATGATTTGGAGTTTAACAACCGCAAAGATGCAATCATCAACCGTTTGTTCGAGAGAAGGAAAAAGGGACAGATTGGGAGACAGCCAAAATGTAAGTTTTTTTTCTTTCTTTTTTTTTACAAATATAATAAAGTAAATACAGGTGTTCTTAAATTGAACTAAATGATCTTGAAATTTAAATCTAATAATGATTAAAAACAGTATTTAAGTCTATTTTGAAAAAATAGTTAAACACAGATTTAGGGATTGTTTTTTAATGTTATATTTTAATTGAATTAATCTCGTTTAAATGAAACATTGAGATTTTTATATGCCTACATATTTTTTTAATCCTGTTCTGTTTAATCTCATAACTTTTATCTCGCACGCACTATTTAATTTACATTTTTATCAAACTAATAGGTTGTTAAATACTGAATTTTAGAATTTTAATATAAAATAATTAGCTGATAAATACATAGAAATGCGTAAAGATGTAAAAAATGTATTAATTTTAATGTGGTTTTCGGTTATCCGAACTTAAAATGATTCGTAAAAATGTTAATAAATACATTCATGAATAATAAATAAGTAGCATTTTTTAAACAGAAAATAGTATTCTAATAGATGTTAGTAATATATTAATTATCAAATAATGTTAAACAATTTAACGCAAAAATTTCACTCAAAGTGAATAAAGATATGTAGTGAGAAACACATTGATTTAGGACACATTAAATAAAATATTTATTGCTTTGCGGTATCTGTAAAATTTATTATCTAGATTAAAAAAACTTATAGTGTCAACATTATGGTCCATATTTTGGTTCGAATTTTTTCGGTGACATTGACCTTACAACCTCTGTGAATGAACATTTTTATTGAAAGAGTTTGAAATCATTTTATTTCTTGTAATCAATTTAATTTTCGAACACACTTTTAAACAAAGAACAAATGCAGATTGCCGCCAATTTGAATGAAGATGATTTAGATTTAAAGTTGTACAGTTTTGAATTAATTTAAAGTAATGTGTATGTCCAGCAGTGGACTATTAAAGGCTGTTGATGATGAATGTGTATGTATCTTTTTTATGTCGTAGCTTTATTCCATCTATTGTTTAGGGTTTTTTGTCTACTTAGAATTATAAACCCTATTGTATCCTCTATGAAAACGTTAAATCACTGATATACAGCCACTTTGATACGTCATTCATCATTTGTTTTACTTATAAAATATAAGACTATCTAATAAGAATACTTGAATTGATTTGAGCACATGGCCGTTTGATTCCATATTAGGTAAATCTTGTACTGTGGTATTTACACTGCTGATAAACATACTTACATATTTATTTCTAAATACGTATATACTCGTACTACAGATAAATAACACCCAATAAAGAGCAAATGATCGTGCTGATCAAATAATTATTTGTACTGAGTGTAATCCAACCCTTGGGCACCCACATAGGAGAGGTACCACCTCCCGAGGTACGTCGGGGTACCAGGGATTTCCTTTCTAAGGTACACCTGGTTCCCCGGCTACTGGTACCCAAGACGGCGTGCGGTTTTTGCTCGGTTCGAGTCCGACATAACCACACCACCGGTGGGTGGTATCCGAGGGGATTTCGTCACAAAAAAAAAGAGGGGTGAAATCCAACCCAAGACCTTTGGCTTGGCAGTTACCCACTAACCATTAGACTTATGTATTTTGTTAAATTATGTGTTGTAGGATATTCAAATTCCCTGTTTTACCAGAACAACAGACTAGGTAGGTATAATAGTTTATACCCAGCCTGTTGTCCCGCGTAAAGGTCAGTTATCATCATGTCATATATTAGTAAAAAGTAGTCTATGTCTTGCCTCAAAAATCAAAGTATCTTTATACAAAATTTCATTTTAATCAGTTTAGCGGTTATTGATTCCCCATACAATCTTCTACAAACTCTTTTCACCCCTTAAAGGATGATTTCTAGGAAAAAAACTACCCTATGTCATTTCCCGGAACACGGACGATCTCTGTTCCAAATTTCATCTAAATTAGTTCAGGGGTTTAAGCGTGAGGAGTTAACAGACAGACAGACAGAAAGTCAGACACACTTGAACAAAACACGTTTGAGAACACTTATTATTCATTTATTAAAATTAACCGTTTTATTTCGAGATTCACACATTTTGACCATCTTTTTTAATAACTTAAAACTAATCCGATTGGACACGTTCTTTGCATCCTTTTAGGTTGTTTTTTTGTTCTTACATCTATTTTTTATTTCATTTTATTTAAAATATCTAATCTATAATTTTAGTCTCCCTAATATAAAAGGTGTTTTTTTTTTTTCTTTTTTTTAAAAGACCGCCCGCATTAGGAATATATATTCTTGTGTCGCAGGGGACTTTACAAACATACATGAAACGGACACAAAGAACACCCAGACTCAGAACAACAATTTGTGGATCACACAAAGTGTTGTCCTATGTGGGGTTTGAACCCACAACACTCGGCGTAGTAGAAAGCGGCGTGGCGACCACTTAAACCACTACGCCATCGCACGGATGGGAGTCAAAGGAAAGGGTCTATTAAAGGAAAAAGAAAGGTAAAACAGGGATATTGTTTTACCTTTCTTTTTCCTTATTCCAGGGATATTGGAACACCAGGGTCACTAGCTATTGTCGGAAAGCCTTCTAACTTGAAATACCTTTAAATAAACAAATAAATCTAACAATAATTTGAAAATATTATCAATGACAATATCACTATACTACTATATATACTACTACTATAAAATGTTATCAGTTATTTTTATTACACATAAATACGATTAATACATAAATAAACAACAAATTTAGCAAACCATAGATTCGTATGCTTTTAAACTGTTTTTTTTTTGTTGCATTCTCTGGCTTTGCAAAGAGAATCAATGACGTTCTAAATTTGACTTTTACAATTTTTGGTTTGCTTTTTTATTAGGAATTCATATTATTATGTAAAAAGGTTAGCTATAAACTATAGCTAACCTTTTTACTTATGAATTATAATTAGAATAAGCTTTGTTTATGATATTAGTGATATTAATTATTATTATATTTTTAAACTATGTTAATACATATCCTTTGACGCAAGACTATATAATACAAATGTTTATTCTTGTAAAATAATGTTTGTGTGTAGAATAAGCACGAAGGAAAATTTATCTGTAGACAAATGTCCTGTTAGACAATCGAACCCGAGATCGTTAATTTAAACAACTGTACAATTCGTTAAAAAACTTTAAATAGTCTTATCTTTATATTTCCGAATGCTTTACATGCGTAGATTAAATATTTTAAATATGTTTATGGGACATTAGATTATTTCCGTATTATTTTTTTATGAGACCAAAATGGCTTTTGAGTTTAAAAATAGTTTCTTTTTATTATTTTAACACATGCCACTGATAGGTATATTAGAGTATGTGTTCAACTGAATAATTTATAACATTAATGTCAGTAGTTTGGAATTTTCCAAGTTTAATGGAAGGCTGAAATAATACAGGAAATGTAGCAAAACATTCTTAAATCGGTTCTTGTGATAAAGAATTTTCTATCTTCTCATACGAATGTCAACACATGTTGAAGAAAAGTTGTTACAGGTTAAAAAAAATACGCCTGTTCTTAGCAAATATCAGTCTAGTTTGTGAGATGTGTAAAGTTATTATTATAATATCTAATAAAAGATCGATACTAGTAGGATAATATGGTTTGATATGCGTAATGTTCATGTGCCAAAACCTCCCTTCTAAAGACAGGCCTATGATAAGCAGTGAACTATTTAAGGTTGTTGAAATGCGTCACGGGTTTTCTGCATTGCCACAATGTTCTGTATTTGTATAACAAGATACGACACGATACGATTTTGTCATTTTTTTGTGATTGCAACAACGTGTTGTGAGCGTTTTCATAAAAAACACAACACGAACTTCGCGTAGTGGAAATTGTGGAAGTTTTACTGTGACCGCAACGCGTTGTAAGCTGTCTTTACGCTCAACGCGCGTTATCGCTATCTGAGCGTAACATAATTTATTATTAAATTTATGTAAATTAATAATTTTTATTCTGTAAATTAACAGAGCTCGTATTATTCAAGAACACGGATTAATATAATTAAATAAATAACATTATAATTACGAAATAAACAAAGTTTAATTGCATGGCCTAGATATTTTTGCGTTATTTGAATGTTATTCTACAATTTACACTATTTCTTTTTATATATTTAAGTTAATATAATTAAGTAATAATACTTATCTACTATTAAATCTAATTTGTTTTCGTTTCAGTTTCATAATTTTATTTTTATAATTTTCATATTTAAATTGCTTTAACTTTATAATAGCTAGTGGCCCTGTACTCTTGGTTTTTCCAATCACAGTATGTACATAAGGGTACTCGAGGCGGGGTCTCTTTGTTATTTTGCAGTTTAAGTCCCATGTGATTATGAAGCTAAGGTAACAGACACAGTAGACAGTATTCGGCCCTCGTCCCTTTGCGTTACCTATGCAACAATTTACCTAAAAAGGATGACATCCCATGAAGTGTCAGGCATGCAGTCGGCCATAAGAGAAATCAGCCATAACCCTTCACAATGTTGAGGCAATCTTAGATATAATAATTGGGAAAAAGGGCAGGAAAATAATGAAAAATTTAACTTTTTTTCTAGGTATAAAAGTACGTAAGTTAAGTACTGAACATTCTAAAGAAGTATTTAATGTTTTTATGACAAATGGCTTATGTCCAGCAGTGGTGGACTGCGATAGGCTGATGATGATGATGATATCTCTCTCTGTTCTATATTTTACTTCTAAGTTATATACTTCTATGGTTTTAGGTAGTAGTTATAAATGAAATCACTTCTTGACAGGTATTTTTTATCATTTAATATAATTAGAGTTGACATAGACAGACATTGACTAGGTACATTACAGTGTCGCAGACAGCAGAGCAATGACTACCCAAGTATGTACATAGTGCTACGTACCTTAGTGACGTGACATAACTTGGTTAGTGGACTATGGCTGCCCACAAGCTTAAAGTCACTCAGCGTGCTATGGAAAGAGCTATAAAATAAAAAAAAACA